GTTTTCCATCAGAATTTTCGGTATTTCTGTTCAGTGAATGTCAATATACATTGGGACAGTGTTGTTTCAACTCAGTATGTAGATAAGTGACTAGAATATTGTCTGAAAAATTTGGTTTCCAAACCCTTACTTAAAAACTGGATGCCTTTAATGGATTGTTTCCCTTCAAAAACACTTTTAACAGTTCCACAGAACCTTTGCTTTTAGCAGCCTATTAGCCAGGAACCCTCCCAGCGTGCAAAATCGAAAAGTCTTTGCTGTTTGTAAACGTGGAAATGTGTACCAAGCTTCGGTTAGAGACGTCCCTCGGATAGGAGATCCCGTGTTTGGGAGAGCCACACCCCACACATGTTAAAGAACCCACCACACTTATCGAAAAGAGTAGGGGACCTTCCCAGTGTGAGTGGTTCAAACCTCACAGTCCTGTCTTACACAGCTTGTACTTACATGTACAAAACTGGTGTGTTACGCCTAAAAAGGCGGCTTACTTGTTTATGCGAAACAAAAAAGAAATCCTTTGCCTTAATGGCTTCTTTCTCTTCAAAAAAGAAAACACGCCTAGCAGTAACACAGAACCCTTGCTCTTAGCAGCCTATTAGCCAGGAACCCTCCCAGCGTGCAAAATCGAGAAGTCTTTGCGCTGTCAAAGGGCAAGCGACTGAAGACAAAGCATCAAAAACAAACCTTGGCCGGGCGGGGAAACCCCAGCGAGCAAGCCGGGCCCGGGTCCGTCTCGGTACCCGGAAAATTACAGACTAACTTCGCTCTAGACGTGGGAAAAACGGCGCGACATCAATTTGTGACCCATCTCGGCGCGTTTTATAGTGCATTTCGGATAAAGGAAGGCCGTATGTTATGTGACGTGCCTTTGTAAACAAAACGTTCTCAAACAGAAGACCCGGTGATTATGTTGTGAGCATGAGGTTCAAAGTGAGCAAAGTAGAACTTCTATTTACATTACGAACAATTGAACCTAGGAGAGAACTCAGAGAACTTTGCGTGTTTTTTTACCAAACCTCCGACTTTTGTCGACTTAACGAATAATGCTTTTGATAGCAACAATGTTTTATAAGAAACTCCATTTGTAATAGCGCCGTCTCTTTATGATATAAACAGCCTGAATATCTTCACAGAAATAAATGGCACAGAAATTAGTGATTGAAACTACATGTTACACCTCAAGAGAAGTCCAACGACAACTTTAATATCTCATAAAGGCTTAGGTTATGGTAGAAATGGGGAAAAAGTGGTATGTATTACGCCTAAGCCTAGCAAGTTCTTATGGGTTTGCCAGAGACACTAGCTACATTTCTTTGCACAATATGTACCAGAGTTGCACTTCGTACAATTGAATATTTTCAATATCTATGCGCAAAAGTCTGTTATTTTGTCAAAAGTGGACTTAGACAGAGGATACTCTTAAGTCAGAAAAGGATATTGCTTCCTTCAGCCAGCCAAGGGCACCTAAATGAGGTGTATGCAACAATAAGGAAGCTAAGAATTCTCACGTGGTTTGCAACATTTTCTGCATGCTGCAGATCTTCGACAAGAATCTTCAGAAAGCATTTTCATAAGCAAGACAGTTGAGTTTTTGGTCGACACGCCCCGAGGTTGTTTGCGATTCTAGGACGATCGAAGGGTCCTTACTGCACGGAGCCCTAGTGTCGGTTGGCCCAGTCTGGAAAGATCCCCCCCCCCCTCCCTTTACATCCAGTCAAAAAGTCAGAGTATAATATACGGTGTATAATGTACAGTAGTGTGTATAATGGGAGTGAATGATGGGGTTGGTGCTGCGACCATCTGTTGTCCTGCCGGTCTGCGGATTAAGACGTCACGGCGGAGAATGGCGCGGACATGACGGCACGCCGCCGCGCAGAACGCGATTGTTCCAACTCTGCACGACTCTGGCTCTCAACGGTCGCTCTCTGACTGGCTAAAAGCGAGCCATAGCTTTCCGCGTTTAGTCCAACAAAAGAACAGTCTAGCTCACTCCATAATCCTTCTGCCTGTCTTTTTTTTGGGGCGGGGGGTGGTATTCCATAATTATGATAAACACAGTATATTTTATGTATTCGACGCGTAAGTCTTCGACTGGTAAGTTCTGAAGAAAGTAAAAAAAAATGTTCGAGCCTTGCTAAGCCCAACAAAAGAACAGTCAAGCTCACGCCATAATCCTTCTGTCTTTTTTGTTGTATTCCATAATTATGATAAACACAACATATCTGTACGTAGGATGACTTTATTCATACATGTACTTAGCTTTGTTACTAGTAGATCTTAAGTTGTAGAAGACCATACAAAAGTCACTGTACTTTTTTGTTGTGTCAATAAAGAATATATATGTCTTCGACGCGTAAGTCCTCGACTGGTAACTTCTGAAGCGAGTAAATTGTGCGAGCCATAGCTTCCCGGGTTTACCCCAACAAAAGAACCTTCTAGCTCAGTCACCATAAGCCTTCTGCTTTCTCTATGGATTCCATAATTATGATAAACACAACATAGTTTATGTATTCGACGCGTAAGTCTTCGACTGGTAACTTCTAAAGCGAGTAAAACAAATGTTCGAGCCTTGCTAAGCCCAACAAAAGAACAGTCAGCTTAGTCGCCATAAGCCTTCTGTCTTTTTTTTAGGGGGGGGGGTATTCCATAATTATGATAAACACAGCATATTTTATGTCTTCGACTGGTAACTTTTGTTGTTCCCTTCTGTGTTACGCAAGGTTTGCTATGTGTCTACGCGGGTTTGCTTGCATTTCTGTGTGCTTGTCTTGTGTGTAAGCTTGCTTACACAACTTTTGTAAGAAATGTTAATAACCTGCATGTACACAATAGGACCAAACTTTGTTCTTTTATTCAAGAATATTTAGTGAGCTGCTTCGCATGATGTATTGCGTATTTTGTGTTATTCATGTCGAAAGTTTGCCCCTGTATTGCCGGTGTAAAGCTTCGACGTACGTAATACTCTAGCTTTTACAAGTACGTTGAATGGTGGCAACTGATTTTATTATACTAAACGACCCGTCATACCTAACATTTCCCGTATCTTGATGCAAAATCTGTTAAAAACTATCTTGTGAGGATGTCCCTCCTGTACTTGGCGGCAAGGAATTCAACTCTATTATTATAATAGTCGCAACAGTTTTCACCAAACCTTAGCTACAGTCATCTAAACTGTGACGATCACTTTGTCATGCCTGTCAGAGCTGCATTGTCCCGTACACAGATTGACTGTGCTGACCGACCTCCACACCCCCCTCTTGTCCTAAACACGCTCTCACAGACACCCAGGAATAAAACCCCGCACCTTCTCAGGCCTGACCTTACCGCTTTATGTTTGTTAACCTTTTCTTTACGGGCTGGAAGCGAGAACCAACAAGATTTATCATAGTTTCAGGACGGCGTCACGGTTGTTAGAGGGACTGTCACCAGAACAGGGCGAACAGATGGTACAAGCCGTGTACCTGTGTAAGGTTCCATAAGTAGCCTTTCACGGACGCTAAAAATTCTAGGTAGTTCTAAAACAGAATATTGTCCGAGAAAAATATGATTCGAAATGGGTCTCTCTCAGTCAGTCTACTGAGTTACTGGTCGAAAGTTCCATGCGAGAACAATTTGTCTTGCGTTGGAACAAGTTTTAACTACCAACACAGATGAACTTTAATGATAAGAATTGAAATGATTTGTACAAAATCAAGATAGCATGATAAAGCTCTGACTCTAAGAAAAGTTTTCCCTCGATAAGATATTTGTCTATACTTTTAGACTCTTTTCAAACATAAGTAAGGCATAGCTTTTCAAACGTAAGTAGCCTTTCTGGTCGTCCAGACAATCTCATAGACGTCCGTTTTTCTCCCAGTTAAGTCATGAGAAAAAACGAAAAGTTAACGAAAAAGTTCTGACTGGCAAAATACTCCTTTGATAAAATATTTACTCTTTATATATATTTAAGGGTTAATGACCCGCCCCGAGGTGAATATGGTGTGATAAAGCCTTGTCAGTTGCTATAACCACAGAATAAAGCCACCAAGTGAGCGCAGCGAACGAGGTGGCTTTATGAGGTGGTTATAGCAACTGACAAGGCTTTATCACACCATATTCACCGAGAAAGGGCGGGACATTAACACTATTATCATATAGCTTACACGATAGTCTATCCAAACTGATGCAGTAAGTGACACAATGCACATGCTGAATAGAACATAGAACATAGTTTCATCTGGAGTCACCTGAGGTCACTGGGTAGAGTTCACGTTCTATGTCTTCTATCTGGGTCACAGGCAGGGAACAGGTGTTCTTATGGGAGTTACCCGAGGTCATTGGAACACAACTTAAGTTATTTTTGGATTTTTTAGAACTAGAGCCCTGTTCTATTGGTCACCTGAGGTCATATGCGGGTGATTATTTGGGTTGTTTAATGTATGGATTGGGATGAATAAATACCCGATTTTGACTCTATTTGTGACATTACGGCGTCATAAGGAATGTGGAATGGAGCCTTCTGATTGGTCAACGTCACCCGGCTATATGATAATTACTTTTAAAACCCTAGCTTGCAATAAACTGTTCAAACGGCATGTTTTTTTAACGATAAGTAGATGTATGCCACCCACAAAAGAAGAAAAACAAAGCAGTATTGTATTTTTCCTATCGTTTTATTACAGACATAAGAAAGATCAAGGCATCGGGTGAGTTGATACGATATTCACAATATTTACATGTAGAAACAGCGAAATTTCAAGACTTCCTTTCATCCTAAAAAAGTGGAAAATTCGACATATACAACTCTGCTCAAAACCTTGTTTTAGAAATAAAATTATTGTTGTTGTACATGTTTAGTCTAATATCTCGTTAAACGTGGTCTCTTGTGGCTGGTTTGCGCTTGGTTCAGTTCAGAGTCAAATAGAATAAAGTGTTTTCCATTGCTTTAAGGCTTGAATTTTTATTTTCACTGAAAACAAAAGATTTTCTACCACTGTACAAAAATGTCAACATGGCGACCGAACGAAAGACATGGCCGGAGTTCTCAGTCCGTACCCTCTCGGAGGCGAAGTACGTTATAGATCTGCCCCAAACCTTCTCGTTTTAGGAATAAGATTGTTGTTGTTGTCATTGTTCAACGTCTAATATCTTGCTAGACATGGTCTGACTCTCTTGGTGTTGGTTTGCGCATGGTTTAGTTCGGAGTCTCTCTAGGCACTTAACTCGTGGTGGAATAAAATGTTTCCATCGCTTTAAGGCTTGGATTTTTATTTTCACTGTAAACGAAAGATTTTCTACCACTGTACATGTCAACATGGCGACCGAACGAATGCCATGCTGTTTTCAGTCCGTACCCTCTCGGAGGCGAAATACGTCGCGAAGAACGACTGATCCGGCGATGGCGTCGACCTGTCACTGCTACCGTCTGATTTCGTGTCCCGGATGTAGGTGGAGGAGTCGGCCTGGAGCGCATGCGCGGGAGTGGAGGATGACGGGACGGATTCTGGGTTGGCGGGAAGGCGATGCCGGGAGCTCTTCTGGTGCGCCCGGAGCCCCGCGAGCTGGGAGTACGCGCTGTGGCAGATGTCGCATCTGTACGGCTTCTCTCCTGTAACATTTCACAAAATACGGTATTAACAAAGTGATATAATTCCGACGATATTCAGCACAAAACATAAAGCCAGCACGTCGGCAGGACGTACTGCACCTGCGCGAAACCCGTAATGTACTGTGCATAGCATTTCGTCAGAACGTCTCATATAAGACCATACAAAAGTCTCTGTACTTTTTTGTTGTGTCAATAAAGAATCTCTCTATAAGGTCGTACTTGCATATATAAGTTTAACATCCCTTCTGTAGTTTCCAAATGTTGTGTCGGAAAAGATATCGTCTGGAACAGGCAAAATCCTGATGCAACATTGACCAAAAATTAAACGAAAACCGTGAAAAAAAATAAATAAAAAAACGTGGTTTTAAGCAGGCGCAGTACGTTCTGCCGACCTGCTACCTTGTACATCAGCACACCAGCTTCGCTATGTGGTCTACATAGATAATGATTTTACATAAATCGTTCTCTGCACATGCGTACCTGTGTGTAATCTGATGTGGTTCCTGAGAGTTGAAGACTGACTGAAGCTCCGCTGACAGAACTTGCAGATGAAGGGCTTCTCCAGGGTGTGTATGCGCATGTGCGAGCGGAGGTTGCTGCGTGAGTTGAATCCCCGGTTGCAGACGACGCATTTCAGCCTGTGCGTCACGGGAGCAGCCGGGGGACGGTCGGCGGGCACGGGCTCGTCTGGAAAACATGGCAACAATTTATTCAATAACTAGAAAGGTAACATTTGCAAAGCTAATGCATAATGTTTACCCTTTTATATGGTCTGCTCTCACTGTTAATTCTTACTCAAACACATTCACATATATGGTGACAAAAGTCGAAATCCCTCATAAAATTGCATCATGATGTAACCTAACACTCGATACCATGGTGACAGACGTCTGGTTCAGGTCATTTGTTTGGAAAAGAAGAGGAAGAAGAAACAGAGCAAAAGCAATATGTTTTTCTTCTGCGAAGGTAAACATGATAATAGACTGACCTCGATTAAGCTTAGGCACACAGGCAATGCGATACACAAGGAATTGTTACTTAATTAAGCAACCGGATGGGTTTTCAGAGTCCTGTCCTTGTGGATAGACGGATGGCCTAACCTACTGTCAGTGTCCAAGCCTAGTATATAGATTTAACTAAATAAGATGTGTCTACGGAAATACACGCGCGAACCGAAAAGCCTCCAAACACGGTGACAATCAAAATCTCTGACTATTCTTGTATAGGCGCTGAAACTTAATTTGGCCTGAAGCACACAAAGTTCGCAGTGCCAAAAGGTTATGACAGCGGCCAGTTATGTCATTTACAGTGTTTATAAATGCAGTGAAGTTTTCCTACCTTCCTTCTTGGCGGTGAACTCGTCCGGCTGTGGCACACCCGGGATGCCCAGGAACGTGGACGGACTGAACCGGTACCACACTAACAACTCCTCGTCTGGCGGGATGGCCTGCAGGACAAGGTTTACATCGAATTTTACATTTAGTTACAGTACATCCAACTACTAAGTACCATATACCAGCTTAGAAACGAACAAGAGTACAAGAGTTATCAACCAAGGCTTTAGGTGTTCAAAAACCCATTCTTTCCTAGAACTATCGCAGAGTGGAACTCGCTGTCACCAAGTACAGTAGGGGCATTGTCATTAGATAGCTTAAAACAGTGCCTAGAGTTAGATGTTCAGGGGTTAGGTGTAACAAGTCGTTCGGTGTGATGTAGCCAGCTGCCGCCGCGCCGCGTGCCTGCGAAGTGTGTTACGCCGAAGGGCGGTTATACCGGCTATACAGATACAGAAGCTGGTGTGTTATGCCGAAAGCGATTATACCGGCTATTAGATACGGAAGCTGGTGTGTTACTGCCGGCTATAGAGATACAGATACAGAAAACAGAACCTCCATACAAGGGGGTAAAATATCTTTCTTCGAAATAGCAAACAAAATCCTAAGTTGCCTGACCTTCATGGCCCTGTAGTAGATGTGTTCTCCCTTCTGGAACAGCTCCAGGTTCTGCTCCTGCTCGCTCCTGGCGCAGTTGACGTACGCCATCCAGCTGCGGTCCTCCTGGCGGCTCGCGTCCACGTAATGACTCAGGTCTCCGTACGGCGTGAACACCTGGGCGGAAAAAAAGACGGCCCCTTATATTATTCTTTTCACAACTGACCCAGGCAGTTTAAGTTCCTTGTTCCTGGTCATAGTTGCCCTCTGTCTATTGTGACCTTTTAAGAGCTTTTCTGGAAAGTTTATAAAATCCCAAAGTAAACGTGAATAAAATATGTTTTACATAACGGCGTAATAGCAATAAATCATAGGCCATTATAAGTTGATATTTTTTGTTTTTCGACCAGACTGTGACAGAAACAACTTAACCGATCTTGTGCCCCTGGGAAAGGCACTTTACACGAGTTTTCTCACTTAACTCAGGTGGAAATGAGTACCTAGCTTCGGTTAGGGACGTCCCTCGGATAGGACGTTAAATGGAGGTCCCGTGTTTGGGGAGAGCCACACCTCACGCACGTTAAAGAACCCACCGCACTTATCGAGTAGGGGACCTTCCCGGTGTGAGTGGTTCAAACTTTACAGTCCGGTCTTACGCAGAGTTTTGTACTTACATGTACATGTCCAAAACTGGTGTGTTACGCCTGGAGGCAGTAATGCGAAACAAACAAACAAAAAGGTTGCGTACCTCCCACATGAACTCGTTTTCCCCAACCGGGTCCACCTCTGCTGGACTGACCCTCCTGCCTGAGTACGGGCCCATCTCGGTGCCGGGTTTGATCCAGGCCCGGGCGAACACGCCCCAGCGCCGGCACGGGATCTGGGAACGGCGCGCCTCCAGCTGAGGCGGCAAAACCAGTCCCGGCAGACTCGGAAATTCTGTGGGGTGAGAGAATCACGATAAATATCATTTCATACTCCGCATTTCTGCAAAGTGAAAGAGTCGTAAATGATATCATGTTTACAAAGAACTATTATGTCTGGTGGTGAGGTTAAAATTAGCTACAGCTAGAAAAAAGAACTATCGTAGAGTGGAACTCGCTGCCACCGAGTACAGTAGAGGCATCATCGCTAGATAGCTTTAAACAATGTCTCTCGGAGTTAGAAGTGTATCAAGTCGTTTGGTGTAATATAACTAATTGCCGCCGCACCGCGTGCTTGTAAAGCTGGTGTGTTACAGATTCGGATAATCTTTCGCTCTGTTTATCCTTAGTTCTCTCTATGTCTTACGGTCTTCCGTTTGTATTAACACACACTCTGCCCCTTTCCTTCTCAAGAAAACTGGAATGGCTTCCTCAAATTTCAAAATGATTTTTCTTTCCGATAATACAACGTCTCTGCATGTGTATTTTCCATTTGAATGGTTCAAAAAAAAAAGAAGCTACGAAAACGTCAAAGCCTGACCTGGAAAAGGGAATGCGCACACATGAATGTGTGTAGACGAAATCACCTATCACGTCCACATATCCGATAAACATCATCATTATTAAGAACAACTGTTAATATCTTTTTAAAAATTCACAGAAGACTTAAAAGGGGCAACAGCAAAGCTCTCAAATAGCTTATTCATTATCTGGTCTCTGCGGAGGATTACGCGGCTATTAAATGGACAGCAGATAGACGAGCGACTGTCTCTGTGGACGGTGGGCCTTTTTGCCGCAGGCCACTTTTTTATTCATCAATACACAACAAAACGGTAACAAGGGCAGTGTGGCGCTGCACTCAAGTTTGTAACTTATATTAACATCGCCATAGTTGACATAACAGTGCACCGAAGTCCTACAACTGTAAGACATTTAATAATACTAATTCTAACTAGATTAGAAAAAAGTATTGAACAGGAGTGACTTCTATGACTGATTGACGAGAAAATTGTCGCCGTCAATCTAAGGATTACATATTGAACTTCTATATCCAACTGGCGGAAGCATATCTGCCAATAAGAGCTAGAAGAGCTGGAAGAAGAAGTGAGGCCTTTTGACACATGGACTCTATATCTATCACGTTTTGTTGTGTCCGCATATATCGGACAGTCAACGGGACGTTTGTTTACATACACTTCAAAGTCCTTGTGACACACGTCGTGCAACAGGCTTACGATATTCCCGGAATTGTCGGGATTGTGTCGTAAGTCCCACACCAAACAATCAACAACAAACTACAAATTGGAACAAGTAAGAAATTATCACATCTTGAACTCGCTTAATACTTTATTTATTTATTTACTTTAAGTCTGGTATGTGAGACTGACTGGCACACACACATAGAGAGAGAGAGCATTTGGTATGCACGTTTCTGCTAGAAAACATCGAACAATGAATGATGTAATAAATAAAGGTTTAAGTAAACGAATGCACCAAATATCTGTTTATTGTTAACATGTCATTGAACAGGTGCATTTAGAATCTGTTGACCTAAATAAAGAAATAGCCATCAAATATACAATAGGACAACGTTTTAAAAACGCAAATAGATTTTTAAAAAGACATCAGGCAATGTTAAAGTCAGAAACCTCTGACTAACATTTATGGACTAGTTCATTGTCTTTGCTCCGCATTTTTAGATAGATATCGTTAGAAAACGATATCGATGTCTGCACACCTTTCCTGAACCACACCTGCCCACACACCTGTCCACATGCCCGACATGACCCCTTTATCAGCCAGGTACACGGGATGTCACCTGTATGACGTCATAACCGGACGGACGTGTCCTAGATTTTCCAGTCCTATTCTTTTTATATAAAGCATGTTGCAATAGTCTCTACCAGGCACCGCGGATCGCTGGAAAAATAGTAGTAAGTTGCCCAAAATAAAGGGAATAGTTTTCAAGGGGAGTTAGGAGAGAGGGTACATTTTGCGACCCACGGATGCGGCAAACTGTACTCTCTAGCGGACCAACTCCCCCGGCATGTTATCTCTCTATTTGGCCGATTTCTACTCTTTTCAACCGCCTCCCAAAGCCTGGTAGAGGCTATGTTGCAAGCTTTAAGCATTGTTCCTGACCAATGATGGGGTTGTTGTCCGAAATGATGGTAAATTGGCGCTGATTGGAGCGATGTCTCAACGGGACGGTCGCCCGAGACTCAAGCGACGCAACGCCGCCGATATATAATTTCCGTCTCATAAACAGTCGTCGCCTTTTGAAACGGCCGATGCCATATCGCAGAACAGCTAACTTTAAGTGTATCAGCACGGTCCATTCACACCGTGTTTCGTGGCGTAGACGTTAAAAGGTAGAGTTAGGGTTTTAGAGCTACGTTTTTTGACCCGGGTTCGAATCCGAGCTTGTGCTTTTTTTTTTAATAAAACCTTTTTCACGATCCTCTCTTACATTTGGAATTAGAATTTCTATACTGTATGTTTCGTTTTATACGTTTCTGGACCTCAAAATGGTTATGATACGCTCGGATATTGCATTAACCAGTCAGCGATATGGCATCGAAAGGCGACGGCCGTTCTGAAAGGCGAATAAGGAAATTTGCCCTGCCGCCTGGGAGACCGACTGGCGATTATCCCCCGATGATTGTCGGGTCTGTCGCACGACAGTCGTGCGCATCCGTCCAGGAAATTGGAGAGACAAATGTGTTTCCTGGTGGGTAATCACCTCTGGGGTTTCCCTGTGCTCCTCAGACGGACGGCGCTAGTGCGGCGCGTCTTTTGACTGCTGTATGTGGAGTTAATTGCCGCCAAATCTGTTTTACTTATTCATTCTCATCTATCTTCTTTCTGCTGGAGTATTAGAATCTAACGTACATTTGACTGCAGTATTTATTTATTTATCTATTCACATATATTTATTGAGTATTAGACAAGAAGCACTGTTGGCTATGTGACGCCTTCTACTCAAAAACATAAAACGAGAGTAAAACACAATGACAAAATACATATGTGCTTACAAAATGGGTAAGAGATTGTGAGATTTAAGAGATTTCACTAATTTATGCCGAATAGCATATTATTCATGATGAGAAATAAATGAAAACAGTAATAATAATTATATCATTGTCATCGTCATTATATCTTATAATCTCAGTTTTGGAGCGCAGAAAACTGCATTTTTCTTTTTATTCTTTCGAATGATTGATGTCTTTTATTTGCGAGCAAACAAAAAGACAGTACAGTTATATCTTGAATATTTGTAAGATTGTTATCTGCACCACTCGCATGATTGACCTTCACTCTGAGATGAGAATGTTGACAAGGGAAAGCTTTGCAACAGGGTGAGATACAATCTTTTAACACACACAACAAAAAGGGATAAAATTATCATGTCTCATTTACTATTCAACGCACGATTCTATTGTTTTCTCCTCTTTTTTTGGGACAGCGCCGAGTTTTGAAAAGTTTACTCCAATTTCTGCGCGTGACGTTTCGCGCTCGCAACAAAGCCACGCCGGCTCTTCCGTGATCCATTTCCTCAGTACACGTGTCGGACCCATCCCACTGGAAAATAAAACAAAATGACGCGTGCCGGCGCCTGGATCTAAGCCAGCTTTTTGTTCGCTAGTCCCGGGCACACGTGTGTTTTTATGGCTGTCGCGTGGCCCGATGCCCACAGGTACCGGCATTACCAAGTCATAAACGCCGCTATGAATTATGTATTGGATAACGAGGATAATTACCGAAGCCGCTACTCATTAAATCCGTACACTTTGTGTTCGGAGATAAAATCATTGACCTATAAGTGACTGCGGCCCGTTTTTTCGTAACTACAATAAAACAAGACTATAACATTATCAGGAAAAAAATCTGAGAGTTTTATACTATGTTTTCTACGATACTGTGAGAGATATGAGTGTCTATGTTACTATGAGAGATAAAATCATTGACCTATAAATGACTCTTCGCCGTTTTTTTTTCGTTACTACAATAAAATAATCTCTCTAAAATACTCTGTGATTTTGTTCCTGATAATGTTATAAAGAGAGTTTTATACTATGTTTTCTACGTTACTATGAGAGTTATGAGTATCTATGTCACTATGAGAGATAAAATCATTGACATATAAATGACTCTGCGGTCCATTTTTTTCTAATACTAGAGTAGATAAATCTCTCTAAAAAGACTCTGTGATTTTTTCCTGATGATGTTATAAAGAGAGTTTTATACTATGTTTTCTATCTTACTATGAGAGCTATGAGTGTCTATGTTACAATGAGAGATAAAATCATTGACCTATAAGTGACTCTGCGCCCCGTTTTTTACCGTTACTAGAATAGATTAATCTCTTTGAAAGACTCTGTGATATTTTCCTTGATAATGTTATAAAGAAAGTTTTATACCATGCCTTCCTTTTGTAGTATTTAATTTAGTACGAGTATATATGATGAAACGTCGAACAATCTCTCAAATTAGATTTATACTCCCATAATCACCACAAGTCCATTTACTCTTTGTGTCCTTGACTGTGTTCAATGATGTTAGGGGCCGGACTATATCTGGTACCGAATACAATTGCCATGACCTAAAAAACTAAACTAAAGCTAAGCAAAACGCTCTGACCTACGGTGTCATACGGCAACTGGCCAAAAAGCGCTTCTAACTAAAGTGTGATACAGTAACTTGCCAATATTTTTTTGTTCCAGAGCATTTCAAAATACGAAATATCGCCTAAAATCATATAATTTTATCAATATAGAAATAACACATTTGCTGTTCTTTGTTTGCTTTTCTGTCTTGACTTGAAGCGAGCGAGGGTATAAAAAAACGTACAGTAGGCAAAGGTACAGCCCAACCTTTACCGTCACAAGCTGAATTTTGTATGACACATCCCTTAGAATGTCGTAAACCTATCACAAGACGAACGTCAAGGGGGAAATACAATGTTTATATGGATTGTATATGATAAACTTTATATTTGAAGCTTAGACAACTTAAACGAATATTGATAGAAATCTCATTTTGAAGTTGCACGTACATTGAAGCCAAACAGATTGCGTCCTTTGTCGCACAATATACACCCGTTATTACTCTTCCTTTAACTTCTCTTTTACGCGACACAAAGGCTCCTAAACGTGCCGGCCAGTTTATCAATACCGCCAGATCCTCCGGACAAAGTACGGCCGGGCGGAGACCCACAGAGCGGAGAGAATCGGACTGGCTTTGGCCTGCCGAGGGGTAATGTAGCCTCTACCAGGCTTCGGCAGGCGGCTGGAAAGAGTAGAAGTCGGCCAAATAGAGAGATAACGCTAGCCTCTACCAGGCTTCGGGAGGCGGCTGGAAAGTGGCTTGGTCCGCTAGAGAGTACAGTTTGCCACACCCAAAATTTATACTCTAGCAGACCAACTCCCTTTTCCGATTTCTGCGAGCTCTTTCCAGAACCTTCCGAAGCCTCGAGGCCTGGTAGAGGCTACTGCAGACCATGTAGGGTTATCAGAGTACGGCCGGGCGGAGACCCACCGAGCGGGGAGAATCGGACTGGCTTTGGCCTGGCGAGAGGTAATGGTCTCCAGCACAAAACATCAAGCAGGAGCCGTGATGGCTTCAGAGGCGGCTGAAAAGACTAGAAATTGACCGCCAGAGAATTCAGAGCGGCAAACTGTACTCCTTTAGCCTCTGAAGCCTGGTAGAGGCTAGTACTTTGAACCGTAAGGAAGTATATTTTGTGAGTGTTACATTGTGGATTTTTTGTGTATCAAATTATACTTTCCCATCATTTTCAATTCATTAATGGCATATTGTAGGCATACATATCCAATTTTAGTCGCTAAAGGGTTTTCATCCAATGAAATGTTTAGGAAACAAACAAGAAAAAGCTTTTGTGGATTTTAAACGTTACGATGTACCAATGAAAATATTTGGCCAACCCCTTTCTTTCCCCACAAGATTTTGCCCATTAGAAATGCAATTCTATAAAATGTACCCCGCAAGTGACGTCATCTGCTTGCAGAACCATTGTTGTAAAAGTGTCGGCGAAAAAAATAATTTTCCTTAAAAGGAAACGAATTCTGGTCTTTGACAAGAATGAAGTCAAACTGCGACTCCTTTTTGGGACGAAAAGTAAACGTCAAAGCTTGTAACCGCAGACACCACAAAAGTGACATACAGTCGGTACGGTAGTTTATATATAGTCTGTCTTTGTATACTCAAACAAAGAGGTTGAACGGTTACGGTATCTACTAGACTATTTGTGTCTCTAGTATCGGAGAAAACGTGGGATTGAATATTTCTGCTCTGCACGTGTAACCTCAGTAAATGTCAAAGCTAGTAACCGCAAACACCACAAAGTGATACACAGTCCGTACGTAGTTTATATATAGTCTGTCTTTGTATACTCAAACAAAGAGGCTGTACGGATACAATATCTAGCCTCCACCAGGCCTTTTCTATGGGAATACGGATGGTGGAATTCGAATTCGGCAAAAAGGAGAGTAAAATTGGCCACTGGAGTCCAGCCATGAGAATATTGTTTGTTTTCCTACGAAAGTGGTCAAACCCCAAGGTGGAAAACTCCCCTGGCAAGTACTAGTATTCTCCCATATATAGCCAGCGTAGTTAGTCTGGTAGAGACTATACAATATCTACTAGACTATCAGTGTGTCTAATATCAGAGAAAATGTGGGCTTGAATATTTCTTTGTTCTTGTACGTGTAACCTTACATTTAATGTGTCGTCCTAGACTCCGCCAGGCCTTTCTACGGGAATACGGATCGTAGAATTCGGCAAAAAAGAGAATAAAATGGGTCACGGGAGTCTGGCCGCGGGGAGGTAGCTTCTTTCCCTTCCTAGGTTTAACTTTGCGGCCCAGTCAAACCGAAAGGCAGCCAAACTCCCCAGGCAAATATTCTCCTACATATAGCCAGCGTAGTTAGTCTGGTAGAGACTAGTGTGGTCCTAATGTCTAGAGCTAGAAGTTCAAGGGTTAGGTGGAACAAGTCGATCGGTGTAATATAGCCAGCTGCCGCCGCGCCGCGTGCCTGCGAAGCTGGTGTGTTACGCCGAAAGGCGGTTATACCGGCTATACAGATACAGATACTAGTATGTCAATAATTAAGCGTGTACCGTGCTAGACTAGATGCGGGCTGATTCATCTAGTGTTGACTTAACCCGTCCCGAGGCCTGCTCCAAAACCAGGTCCCAAATAGGGGCGACCCACATCAACAGAACATGTTAAATACACACAGGAATAGTCGGCTTGAGAAATAACCCGCATCGTGTGTTACCCGCACTGGTTTTGTAGATTTGTAATCCCGATGACTCATTGGGTAAAAAAAGGAGAAGAAAAGAATGAATCACAATCACAGACACAATGCACCATTTTTATCATTTCTAAACGGACAATTTTTAAACATAAAATGTCACAAGGATTTTACTGGCTTCAAAGCAGAAATATTGAAGCCGCGCAAGTTTTATCCGATACTAGACACACGGATAGTCTAGTAGCTACCTTATCCGTATAGCCTCTTTGTTTGAATATACAAAGAGAGAATATATATAAACTACGTACGGACTGTATATCACTTGTTTGGTTCTTGAGGTTACTAGCTTTTGACATAAAAACCGTTAGATATCCTCCTCTTCATGTGCAAAATCCTGGCTCAATTTTTCTCCTTTTTTTCTCTGTTTACTTGTACGTAAAGAAGAATAAAGCTCCTTTTCGTTCATCCATTTGTACATCACTATTGTGGCCGACCAGCGGGTGATACAACCAACCCGTAATCTTTCCCCCCAGCGCTGACATGGAACTTGTTATTTGAAGACCGCAGTTTCCGTTCTTCCAACAGTTTAACTTTTCTCGTCGGCTTTTGAACCGTGCAGTAGTGACTGTATCCCCACAAATGAGAAAATTTAGTAGTTAACGTTGTTTTTATAGATTTTTTTGCTATCAGTATAGTTGGTAGTAGATTGAGACGTTCTGGTATAGAGCAATGTGCAGTGTAAACTGACCGCTATATATGTGACTAGCCCGTAGGAAAAGTCCTAATGTACAATGTAGCTAAGGAAATGGCTAGATGAACCGCTATCAGTTTTTTTTCAAATTAAGAAATTCCGTATTCTTTTTTATCATGAATTATCAAAAAGATCATGACGCAAAGGATACCGAATTTCTACAAATGGTAATAAAGATAAATGAATCAATAATGTATTTACACTTCGTTTCAAATACGGAAATTTTAGTTTTAAAATTCTTTTTCATTTTTGTCTTAGAGTTTTTTAGGCACAAAAATGCTGGTCTACAATGATTGTAAATAATATTACTGTAAATAGAATGTGTTTATTCCTTTTTTTCCTAGAAAAAAATGTACCGTATCGTTTCTATCTTTTTATTATTATGCCTCCTCAAAGTAATACTCAAAGTAATGGCTAAATAAAAGTGTTAGTGACAGTACATAATGTACACTGCATATTTGAATCGTTGGAAGTAAGGGATGAGGCGCACTCGAAGAATACATTATATAATATCCTTGATGTATGGTACCTTTCTTACTAACTTCTGTACCTGTATCTGTATCTGTATAGCCGGTATAACCGCCCTTTGGCGTAACACTTTTTTATGTTTGTGTTTCTGACACAATAACACACCTATATATACAATATATTTCCTGTAAGTGAACATAACCCTTAACTGTGATTGCTAGTGAGAGACCTGTTTCTGACACGATAACCTACTTATTTATTAGTAGTTTTTAGTTAGTATTTCTTAATGTAGTATATTTCCTGCAAAAGAACATAACTGTTAACAGTGATAGCTAGCGAGAGACTTACCCTGGTCGGCCTGCGCCCGGTGGTGGTGTTCAGGGGACGGGACCCTGCCCTCCCGCGGGCTGACCGCGCGTGTCTCCCCGCTCTTCCCCTGCCACCGCCCGTACAGAACCGTCCGCAGCAGCTCGGGGGTGATCTGGGCCAGGGACAGCGAGTTCAACTCTCCCGCAGGCGGCTTGAACACCGCCGGTCGTTGCTGCTGAAGCTTCTTCCGAGGGGGAACCTTTGGGAGAACGGTGGGAGGAACTCTCGTGTAGGGTCCGTACATATGACGATCGAATAGCGTCGGCTTCATCTTGAATTTCTTTCCGTCAACAGAAAAAAAATCCGAATCCAGAAACGTTTAAAGAGCCTATACCAACAGAGGCTTCTTCAAACTTAGCCAGTAAGAAAAGTTTCACGGCTACGCTTCTGCAGTGACGACGTTATAAAGTCTTTCTCTCTCGTTCGGACTTCTGGGGGTTTTATACACTTTCCGCCATCCCTAGAGAACACCTCTTGACCAATGAGAAGAGAGGTACCCGCAGCTCTTGACCAATCACGTGGCAGATACCGACTTCACGCTCGAGCGCGCGCGTGTGAATGGGGAGTGGGAGGGGCGACAATGGCAGACATTTCCGATGTCATTTTTGACGGGACGTTTCTGACTGATAATCTATCATTAGGGTGTCACGTCAGTCTGTCGGCCATTTAGCAAGCGGACAAAGAATTTGCTTTGGTTTTACTAAGTGCTGTTGTAGAGCGAAGTTGATAAAAGAATCTTGTTGATAGCCACTATACAAGTATGTACAATTTTTCTAAATTATTCTGTCTAGCGATTCCGCTAGCGATTTGGTCCCCCCCGCCTACTCTCCCAAGCAGAGGTTTGGGTTTTGGGGTTGGGTTTTTTCTTTTTTGCACTGGAATTTTTGTATCACCCAAAAGAAAGAAACGTTCAAAAAAACACGCCAAAAATAACCCCAAACCCAAAACTCTGCTTAGAAAGTACCCCCACCTCGGCTGTGCATAGAACACTTGGTTGTGTGTAAAAAGTCTCTTTACTCATCCAGTAGTAGAGATTGAATTTCCTTTCAGCATTCGTTTACCTGGATTTTTAACCTTCATCAAAGTAAACTTGTAATTGTTTACAACTAGTCGTAGTAGACCTGAGGCTTTATTTCGACTCCATTCCCTCGACTCCCCAATGGGTCAAGGCAAAACAAGGAAGGGGCTTTCTACTCAGCTGCGCCATCTGCCGACATAGAAGAGTTCTGCACCCAAGGTGACTGGTTAGTCCTGTTCCCAGGGGAAAAAACAGAAATTCCAGTCCTGTAAACTTTAACGAAAGAGTCACCACAGGTAGTGCCGCAAATCGCAAGATTGGAAGATGTGATAAAACTAAAGAAACAGGGCAGGACGACAACTGCTGTTGCATTGATTTATTGCTGTATTCGTGACAAAAAAAAGACTTTTTGGTTGTTACACCGTGTTCTCTCATTCAATTTGTGTCCTAACATTTGTCGTTTCTTAGTGTGTTTCAAATCTAGGCATTTTTTCGACCCTTTCTTAGAGTCTCTAGAGAACGTCATCCATAAAATATGCTTGGTGTGGCCTTACTCAAAAGTTTGCACAGCAGAGAAAGAAGTCGACAAACACTAGGACTAGGAAGAAAACTTGATTGACCACACATCGTTCAGCCACGGAAGCGGCGTCGTAAGGATGAATCCTGACCGTCATGCCTTTGTAAGAGATGACGTAATTTCCGGTTGTTGTTGAATTTCCGCCCGCGGCCTCCGCTCCCAGTACGTCCTTAGACATCACAACCTGGTATTTCAATCGAAATGAAAATAAAGAGCGATTACATCCAAATTCTTTGCCTAGAAAATCCATGTTTCTTTCAATGCGATAGCCTGACTGTAAGGTTTGAACCACTCACACCAGGAAGGTCCCCTACTCTTCTCGAAATCTATAAAGTGCGGTGGGTTCTTTAACGTGCGTGGGGTGTGGCTCTCCCCAAACACGGGACCTATCCTATCCGTCCCTAACCGAAGTGAGGAAAGTCGTATTAAGTGCCTTTCCCAAGGGCACAAGATGGGCAGGATGTTGATATGGGTGGAATTCGAACCCGGGACCTCTTGGTCCTGAGTCGAACACGCTACCGGTTACGACACATGACACCACGCCATCTATCTATCTACACAGTTACAAAAAAAAGAGTTTTAAACAACCTTACCTGAAACTGTGGGTTGTTTTCGAACGTCCTCCCGTAAGCAGTTTTATCAAGTCGGGAGTCAAACAGGCTGGTTGCGACGCGCTGCCATTCCCGACTAAGTCGCAAGGGGGCGTGCGGGCTGCCGAAGATGTTGTGAGAACTGGCGGCGCGATCAAAGCGCTCGTTTCCCGAGAGGCCTTGCTTCCAGGGGGCAAAGGTCACCTATGACAGAGTAGTGTTACCAGTCACGTGACGTTGTCCGCCATCTTAGATGGTTGAAAATTCATTATTTTTTGTTTCGAGTACATACAGATGTATTTAACTGACTATTTTATGTTTAACCAACGATAATGAACAAAGGCAAATGTATATTTTTAAAGCAGTACCAAACAAGACTGGGATGAAAGGAAGACATATTTGATATTATACTTTTAGCAATGTGATCATAAAGAGAACTTTATTGACACAACAAAAGTACAGCGACTTTTTTTCACGTCTAAAACTAGTCATACAAACAGACACTTTGGTACAAAAGAATTAACTTAGTATACGTACAAGACTATAAGACTATATAGATTAATCTACATGTACTACTTGTTCTAAGGTCAGTATCATACATGTCTAGTTGTAGCATACTCTCACACACTTCAGTTTAAAAGCTAAAATGTCTAGTTGTAGCATACTATCACACAGTTCAGTCTAAAAGCGCCCCCTACCTGTTTCGTTGCAAAGTCCACCCGATCGTCCTCTGTCAGGTAGCTGGTGACGACATCCGTGACGTCAAAGTCACGTGACGTAGAGACGGCGGCAGAGCTGATGTCCACCATCATAACCCCACCTGTACCAACTACCTGTAATACAGCAAAAATTCGCTAGAGGGCGCTTAAACTTAGGAGGATTGCATTGCACTAAGGTAATGGCATTTCAGCACCAAGGACATGTACAGCAGAGCTGATGTCCACCATCATGACTCCACCGGTGCCAACCACCTGTAAATACAACAAAATCCGCTAGACGGCGGTTTAGCTTAGGATTACGCTAGGTGATGGTATTTCAGCGCCAAGGACATACACCATACAGAGGGCTACATCTACTGAGAAACATTTTGTCTCACCTAAAACAAGCTAACTACTGTGAACTCCGGATCCGCAAAACAGTTGTATCTAATAGTATTCTTAAATAGCTGAAGCTTAGCTTTTCATAGAGAAGTTGACTACTATTTTACGTAACCATTTCTACATATGTGCATGTCCTAAAATGCGACCAATGTATTAGCCAAAAACAATAATTACTAAACATCATATATGGCGTTTGAATGGCTTCAACTTCAACTTCTTACCGTCCCTATGGCACTGTCCGGTTCCGTGTCCCAGGTCAGGTGCAGGGCCGTGTTCTCGTCCACCCCGACTCCAAGTGTCGCACCGTTCGGCTCGTCCCTGGTATCCGCTAGCAGCCGGATCAGCCGCCCTTCCCGCCCTTTCTCACTGGTAGTAAATCCATTGAAAACAAAGTTCTTTATCATTACCATCGTTTTAAGAGCAGATGTTTTGATGACCGTCTGTCATAGAACTTGTAAGCATTACTGTAGACGTGAGAGTAGATGTTAGCTAGATATGTAGTACTGAAGAGTTTGCCATGCATTTTACCCGTTAAAGATTGACTTGACTTGTAATGTTCATCAGGGTACACTGAAGCTAGGTGTTATTGGTTTCTTTTATGAAATTTATTACCTTTTATGAAATTGATTTGATTTATTGAAATTGTAACAATACAATACACGTGGGACAAAGGCAGCTGTTGCTGGTGTTGTGTCCCACACATAGAAACAAATACAGGACCTCTTGGTTCCGAGCCGAGCACTCTACCGTTACGCCACACGACCCCACCAACACAAATTTCATCATCATCATCAGTAGACCGTACTGGTCGGGGTCATACTACCCCTTACGAGGTGACATACCCGTTCGTTAGCTTAATACAAGACGGGGTTCGCCAGAATTCAATTTGGGTGATTTGAAGTGAATCGCCAACTCCATACAATAGTGTTTGCCATCACACACCGGGGCATGCCCCTACTCTTTTTCGAAAGGTGTGGCGGGTTCTTAAACGTGCGTGGGGTGTGCTTATTTGTGTCCTGACCTGAAATGCACGTCCACGACAAACCCCGGCGCGAAAACGGGGGCCGCCGCTCCTGTTGTACGCCACCTCATCCGGGGTATTAAGGGCAACAAAATGTCTTTTTTTTTCCAAATCAGGCAAAAATCAATGCGCTGATGTCATCCGTAAGAATTACTTTCTGTGGCTCAAGTTGGAAAAGCTTGAGTGTGCCGTCGCCATGTCTTGTGATATAGATGTTGTAACAGAAAAACTGACCTGAAATGAACGTCCACTACGAACCCCGGAGCGAGACCCAATCCGCCGCTTCTGTTGTACGCCACCTCATCCGGGGTATTAGGGTTGTAGGAGTCGCTGGTGCCGTGCGCAAGCGCGTTGTAGCTCAAACCAACAAATACTGGAGAAAAAAAGGAAAAGAAAAACATATAAATAATGGAATATACTTCCTAGAAAATTTTTCCTAAACGGAAGCATCCCTGTCTTCGAATCACGTATTTATACCCTGACTGTTATGCATGTATTTTTTACCATGTGTGTTTAAAAAATGTGTCTATACATTGATTACGACTTTAGATGACATGAACTGTCTGTATCTTAGTAATATTAATCAATCGTCAAAAAGGGCTTATTGATCAATCATGAACATTGCAGCTGAAGGCTGAATTGCGTTCATAGATGTGCACTTTTAAAAACGTTCACGGCTACTCAGTCTTAAAATGGAGTTGCGACAGTTGAATTGCTTCTTACATTATTTTCATTTTATATATTTCGTCTGACCCTTACCTCTTCCATCCTGACCTCAATGAAAAGTTGCTGGCAGGCCAACTGAGCTGTCATGAATTTAGAATGGTTAAAAACAAACAAACAAACAAACAAACAAAACAAGCAAGCAAACCTATCATGACGGCTGAGCTCTGACACGCGGCCCCGGCACTTGTACCCGACACCACCGCGCCTGCCTCAAACTTTGCCCGGATGGCGGCCAGGGCGGGAGACTCCTGCCGATCAGCAAGGTAGAAACTGTACGTAGAGTAAGAAAGTGTCTACTTCAGGCTAATCTCCAAGCAGATTTTTCGTTGGTTACAACTATCGGTATCAAATTGACTAGGCAGTATCCATTATTAGTCAGACAGGGCGGCGAAGGACCCTCTCTGAATGGCTAGTTCTATTAAAACGTAACACTTTTGCTGCCAGACATCTGCTTTGAGATTGCTAGTTCTAACTGTAACGCCGTTGCCTCAAGATATCTGCTTGGAGATTATCAATTGCTAGGTTTTAGCAAGGAGGTTAAATCTCCTTGGTTCTTGCTAGGAAAACACCGTATCTATATCTAGTTGTTCTGCAAGAAACGTGTTATCTTCCTCTTGCGACATGACAACGCATTGCATGCATGATGACTGACGGATGTCCAGTTGTTGACTGAAGTCTACTTACCGAACAAACGCTAACCGCAAACATAGAGCAGTGTAATCTTTGATCTGGTATACCATTAAAACTATATACCGAACGAAAGTTGGCACAATCTGGTAAGTATATATTTTCTGTCAAGCTTTTTGAAAATGTCATCGGGAAACTGTTATTTTTTTCTAGCCTAGGAGCCATCAGTTTTTGTACTTTTGTGCTTTTGGGGTAGCGATTGCAAGGGGTGAATATATTTAAAACAGATGGCACCCAGGCTTAGTCAGCGACAATGCATGCCTTAGAGTTTAATTCATATCAAACCTAACGTTAAATGCCTTATTTTCATTGATGATGATACATGGAAAAAAAGTAAAAACTGTGCTTTGTACGATTCTATGACGTGAATCTGATCTCCACCCCCGAAGAAGAATCCCGTCATGCCATTGATGAGGGCGACCACTTCCGGGTCACTGTTGTTTTCCTTCCGGTAGATGTCGACCGGTATCCATGTTGCCTCGGCCGCCCCGTACCGCCCTTGGAACATGTCCTTGTAGTACCGAGCGGAGTTCTCCGGGTCTAGGTTGGCGGCTGTCACTAGACCAATCTTGGCATTGCCCCGGCCACCCTGTGAGATATGTCCACAAGAAGTACCGCTGATAAAGTGATATGTCAACATTTGCACTAGTTTTTTTTTAAATATTCAACATTTCATGACCAAACATGGCGACGACACACTCAAGTTATATCAACTTAGTTTATGCCGCCACCAACACAGAGTACAAATACAGGACAGGACAATACTCATTTTCACTTGAGTTAAGTGAGGAAAGTCGTGTAAATGCCTTTACCAAGGGCAAGATCGGTGGCATGTCAGGACTCGAACCCGGGACCTCTTGGTTCTGAGTCGAGCCCTCTGCCGCTACGCCACACGACCCCACTATACCAAAGCAACGCCACAGTACAACGTTAAATACTGTTACACCCACCCGCGCCGTACACCAAACACACCTACCGCCAGCTCCACTATAAGATTGTACACCTCGGCGTTGTCTTCCTGTAAGTTTCCTCCAACCAACACCAGGTTCTTCTGTGCTCCATACACACACGCTACTGCACATGCTAACAAAACTTGTGACTTCAACACATGGAACATTTCATACACTGTAATTGTGCACTGTTCGTTCAAAGCTCTGGTCTGTTTACTGCGTCCAGGGACTTGTGTGCGATCGAAGAAAGCAAATATGCTTCCATGATAGATAGAGAAGAGAAGGGCGGTTACCAACAGTATTTGAATATAGCTGGCAATTAAATGAGGCTATTTTAGTGAGTTCGTGTCTTCAGTACAACACTCACTAAAGAAACACACTCAAACATACACATACATACACTGGTATATATGCATATCTACTACACATTCATAGTACACACACATTTACAGTTCAAACATTACAAATTCAAACCACAAAAATGCATAAACATAAACAACGCAAACAGGTCAGCCGGGTCAAAGTACAAACAGTTCTAAAACACCGCTGAACAAAGTCCGTGCAGGCTGATATAACCTACGGCTACGCAGCAGAAAATTCAAACGTTCTACTCCGAAATTCTCTAGTGTATATGATCAGCAAGGAGTCACCCTACTCAGCAATCTACATAAACTTGGGTAGGTTCTATCTTTGATGTACATAACATGTCTGAACAATTCTTATGCAACATTTTACTTAGAGGATCACCCGATTTACACCCAGATACAAACTGTAACATTTTGACAATCACCCAAACTCACGTTATTGATACTAAACGGTTTGTATTAGATTAACCCCTACATAGCCTACAAAACATGTTCTTCCTTACCATTTATTGATGGTGGTGAGTTTAAAATTAGCTATAGCAAGAGTACCTCACCCCCATGTCTTGCGTTGTCCATGTTGAATTGTAAAAACAAAAATTCTCTAGTTACACAATAGACACGCTCCCAGACACCGACATGGGCTTCTCCACGTCTCTTCCCCGGCCTGTGGCAGCCTTGTACCCGCCCGTCCTACTAAGCCTGGTGCTAGGCTACTGGGTGTCTCTCACACCTGCCGTGGAAAGCTACCTGCGTACGAACGTTCAGCCGATTCTTCAGGTAAACATCTGTATCTGTTTCATCTTGAAAGTTCATCTGTGTTGGTAGCTACATGTTTTAAGTTGAAACTTTAGGTGAGAGAACTTCTTTGTGTTGGATGTAGAGCTTTCTACTAGTCACTCTGGTCTTCCTCAGTAGGCTGACCCAGTGAGGCTACTAAGGAAGACCGGAGTGACTGGTCGAAAGCTCTAGGTGGGAGAACGTCTTTGTGTTGGATCTAAAGTTATAAGTTTAAACTATATACCATGTTTGCAACTACAAAACGTTTATACTTAAGTGCCAGCGAAAGTCAGTGTCGTTTTATTGTATTTTGTAAGCCTAGAAAGAAACACATGACATATGTACGTACCCATATAGGGTGTTGAATCATTAATGGGTTGTTTGCCTCAGAATCCGCACCAACGTAACTTAAGCTCCTTTTTCTGGATGCACACTGCTTCTGGTACGATGTGGCTCCCCGAAATCCTTATGTGCAAACATTTTGAGTCATTGTTAAAAAATAAGATAATAACGGAATCATAAAGATCACAAGAGTGCTATGTGAATGAAACAGGAATCTTTTTATTGCCCCCCCCCCTCCCATCTTATCCTAACGTGACCTATTTTTTGTTGTTATTGTTTGACGCAACAGGATACTTCAGTATGGCGGTCATCCGGTCGCTTCCTGCAGACACAGTGGGAGTGGGTATATGAATCCTTCCGCGATGAGTATCAACTTGCCACCGTCGGTAAGTGCACACACACACACACACACACACACACACACACACACACACACACACACACACACAGAGAGAAACACACTCACACACACACACACACACACACACACACACACACACACACACACACACACACACACACACACACACACACACACAAACACACTCACACACACACTCACACGCATGCACACACACACACACACACACACACACACACACACTCACACACACTCACACGCATGCACACACACACACACACACACACTCACACACACACTCACACACACACTCACACACAACTCAATGAAACTGAAAAAAATTTAGATCTCCATAAGGCTAAGCTAAGCAATACGAATGTTCTATGATATCATAAAGGTTCATCTGTGTTGGTAGATTGTTTAAAGCTAACTAATGATAATGCCCCTACTGTACTTGGTGACAGCGAGTTTCACCCTGCGATAGTTCTAGGAAAGAATGACTTCTTTGTTTTGTATCTAAAGATCTAAACAATGTTCTCTGACGTCGTGACAGGAACGGCTCTGGTCATCAGCGTGTGCCTGTTGGTGATGACGTCACTGTACACGTACATGGACCTGACGGGTCGCCCGGCTGTACTGGTCCGCTACAAGATACAGCCTAACGTCAACCCGCCGCCTGTGAGTCATAATGATTTAATAGGCTCATCGGTTGCTATGGATTCTTGTGCCATGGGGAAAGGCACTTTGCACGACTTTCCTCACTTCACTCAGGTGAAAATGAGTACCTAGCTTTGGTTACGGCCGTCACTCGAATAGGACGTTAAATGGAGGTCCCGTGTTTGGGAGAGCAACACCCCACACACTTTAAAGAACCCGCCACACTTATCGAAAAGAGTAGGGGACCTTCTCGATTTGAGTGGTTTGAATCTTACAGTCTGGTCTCAGGTTTGACATCTTGAAGAGGTGATAGTCACCTGTTATGTCAATCCTTCCACAAATGTAGTAAACCTTCATAATTAAATAAATTCCAGGTGAACGCCGCCCTGTTCGCCAAGGTAGGACTGCACCTGATTCCCAACACGCTCCTGACGCTAGCGGGGATCTACCTGCTCCAACCCGTGATGTTATGGAGGGGGATGGAGTTCAGCAAGGAACTCCCGTCTCTATGGCGACTGCTGCTGGACTTTCCTGTCTGTGTGCTTATGCAGGAGATAGGCTTCTACTATGGACATAGGTAAGGCTCGTTGGTGATGGTTAGACATCAAGGTAATACGAAACACAAAGAAATAGTTACTCCAGCAACTAGATATGATTTTGGAAACGGTCAGACGTTTCAGGTAGTATCCAGTACCTTTCATCAGAGACACTAGAGAGTTTTCAGGTTTGTTAGCACGAACTGTTGATTATATGCAAATAAGGGAAGACAAGTTTAGGTACGGCTTGGTTTTAGAAAAGAAAAAAGTCATTTTGCAGATTTAAACATTTTGCATGGTAGTGCTTATATTCTGAGGCCTACATGTACGTTTGATTCCTTGTATCTACATAGGGGCTGTGGTAATTATGATCAACATTGATGAAAAAATTAATATCATTGAACTATATATTATATATATATATATATACAGAGAGAGAGAGAGAGAGAGAGAGAATTGCTCGAGTAACTGTTTTCTGGTGAATGTCACATATTGTACTTTGGCATACATTGTACCATGTGCAATTATGGTGCAATAAAGTTTCTCTATGTTTCCACAGGCTGGTGCACATTCCATACCTGTACAAACGCATCCACAAGCAGCATCACGAGTTCACAGCGCCCATGAGCGTGGTCGCCCCGTACAGCCATCCCTTAGAGCACGTCACCACTGGTGTTCTCCCACTGTTCACTGGACCAATTCTCTCCGGTAATTTTAATCTCCAAGCAGATCCAAGGATGAAAGTCCATCTGTGTTGGTAGTTACATGTTTAAAGTTAAAACTTTTGGTCCAACACAAAAAATTCTCACCTAGAGCTTTCGACCAGTCACTCTGGTCTTCCTCAGTAGCCTGACCCAGTGAGGCTTGTTACGTGGTTTCTTTGAAGTGTGACGTCAACACTGGGTCAAAGGTATCTAGTAGGTGATGTCGACCCCCGTCGCGGTTCAATGTAGGGTGATGGGCCCTGATGTATGTGGCTTCCTTCACCCCTCTCAAGAAATAGTCTTGTTCAGTGTCTAAAATCCTTACAGTGTCAAATGAAACAAAATGTCCGGGTGACTATGTGGTGGTGGTAAAAGACAGTATCAAATTGGCCAGGCAAAATCCATTTGCCTGAGAGGGTACCTTTGGGTGGCAAGTTTGATACGCTCTTTTGCCACTCTAGGATCTGCTTGCATGGAGATTACGGTGAGCCCACTTCCACTGGATCAGTATGTAGGCCACAGCAAGTAAATTTTATGGATAAAATCCTCCGCAGACTCCATATCTAATGCGATAGGGCGAACAAAAATAATGTGGGCTAAAAAAACAAGATTCCTACAATTTAAAATTTTGACATCATCAACCTTGTTAAACAAGAAATGATACACATATGGTGCTAAGTTTACTGCCAACTATTACAAGCGCCAAAAAAAATTGCCGTTAGAAGTCGAATGACACCCAAGTTAGATCTGATTGTCTGATTTCCCAAAATGCCTGCAGGGTGTCACGTGGCCACGATGTGGGTGTGGCTGGCATACCTGATGTACGAGACCACCACAGACCACTCCGGCTATCACATGCCGCTCGCCAGGTCACCGGAGTTTCACGATTTCCATCACGCCAAGTGAGTACCACGTTTAAAGTCAAGAATTTTGGTCCAACACAAAAAATTCTGTCACCTAGAGCTTTCGACCAGTCACTCTGGTCTTCCTCAGTAGACTGACACAGGGAAGCTTGTCACGTGGCTTCTTTGAAGTGTGACGTCAACACTGGGTCAAAGGTATCTGGTAGACGATGTCGACCCCCGTCGCGGTTCAATGAGTGATACATTTAGCATGTTTCTTTAAATAGAACCAAATGTCCCTCTAAAGAGAACCCAGTAATATTTATAATGTATGAGACGACCACAGACCACTCCGGCTATCACATGCCGCTCGTCAGGTCACCGGAGTTTCACGATTTTCACCACGCCAAGTAAGTACCATAACTCTTAATACTAGTCCCAAACAGGACATGGCATGTTTAATAAATGTTTTTCTCGACTTTCGATTTTTTTTTGTAGTGGTGTGAAAAAACCCCCTAGACCAGATTGAAAATTAACTTTTCTCCTTTTCAACACTTTTCTGTTTTAAGCTTACTCTTTCCAAGTTGTACGTGTGTCCTCACCTGCAAATTCCATAGTCTCTCTACTCATGTATTTAAAAGTACTTTGTATATATTCTAATTTTCTAGATTCTATTGATTTTTCCTTATTACCTCATTTTAATCTTTGTCTTTCTCTTTAGATTTCCGGGAAGCAAATGATAATAAAGTTTATTGCATCAAAAAATTATGATTATCATTGTTCTGTGTTTAAAGCCGTGCTGCGGAACTGATAATGATGATGCGTTTAAATATAGCTGTAGATTTGAATACGTTCGAATCTGTTGCAGGTTCAATTGCAACTACGGTACAACAGGTTTGCTGGACTGGCTACATGGAACGGATTCCGCCTTCCGGCAGAGCACCGCCTGGAAGCGTCACCGCATCCTGTTTGGTATCACTCCGCTCTCCGCATCCATCCTGGATACAAAGAAGAAATAAAAAAAAAATTATAACGTAAACTTTGCGAATTACGGTCAACAGCAACTGCTTGATATACAGTAGCCTGCGCTCCTCAATATCTCGCTGTCAGTGACTCAGTTTTGGGTCTTCTTGTATCCAGAACCGTGTTTTATGAAGAACCATGCTCGTGCACCGTTCTGGATAGTCCAAGCGTATCCAGAACCGTGCCTGATTCTAAAATCCCGAACCCATGAAGGCATAATGTAATCTTCTTCAGGATACAATTGGCCTCTGTGCTGGAAGCTTGCGATCTTTCACATGTTAGTAATCCAGAAGACTAGATGCCAATATGAAACTGTAGTCTTGATGAAAGTATCATAAGATCTCAACATTCCTAATGTATTTACCTATTTGCACAATGTGTGTATTGTCTGTTCCAATTGCAATATACAATTGTATTAAATGTGTCATATTGTTTTGAGCGTGGTCATGTAAGGCAATGTAATTAATTATTTATCTACAATACATTAAAAAGTGACGTTCACTACATGGAGTATTGAAAAACGTCCGACATTTTAATGCGCATGCATGTGCACAGCTTGCTGAGTAACGTCCGAGATACCGTATTGTTGTAGCTACACTCTAACCAGATCTTTGGCGCTACAGAAACAACCAAATGGTTACAGCTTTGCCGATTCGATGCTGTCTTTGCAGCCACCGAAACATCTGCTTGGAGATTAGTCTAAGCGGCGTTACACAAGAAAACTCCCCGACCGACTAGCCTCCTGTGCAGGCTCCGGGGCGGGTGGGAATTTTGATACAGCGTTTTGAAGAGTTTTTAACGCCATCCTACAACCGGCCGCCGAGAGAAGGTTCATTCCTTGTAGGATGGCATACTGTGATATACACGTGACGGATGAATTTCTTCACAATATTCGTACTGTTAAAACTTACATGTGACTACTACTCTGGTTATTTCAGTGTTATGGGTGTGTTGTCTTATTTGTAATTTTTGTCTTCTGAAAATATATCTTATAATCGACATGGTGGGGGCTTTGAAAACTTAGAATCAAGCTGAGGTATGGGAAACTGCAGATCAGGTTAAACCTGGTAGAGGTCGTCATGGCAGCATTTGACAGTTATCCTGAATGCACTAACATCGCTCTGGAGCAGGCTTACCGATTTTCTGTATAATTTGGGGGAAATAAATGTCATCTTCTTACCAACTGTTTTGCACGTTTTTAATGGAGAAATAAATAAACTGGTACAAAAATAACATCTGGTTTTAGGGGTGTTCTTCTGATTGACTTAATTATATTTAGGTTTGCAGAAGGAAAACATTGTTTTTGGTGTTTATTTTCTTCCTCTTATGCAAACAAATAAGGTCAATGCCATAGACCAGACGTCCGTCATGGTAACTGGCTGTAGAAACACTGGGTGGTATTGGGTTACATTATGTAGCTGGGCAGAGCTGGAGGGGCCGCTCAACATATATTATGGATGTGTTTGAGTAGCAATAAGCATAGAACTAGTTTGTTAGGCAGGACTCAGTGAAGATTACCATCATACATTTGCCTTGCAAAATGTAATACCTTTCTAGTTTGTCATGGAAATGGTTTTGTGGTCTTAGTCCCTCCTGTCACCTTCCTTGGTACTGAACCTACATAATGTCAACCCACATAATAGAGGCAAGTGGCCGGCTGCCACCAAGCTGCAGTATTGCTAAGCAAGCACATCTAACCCTCGGAAGTCTGGGAACAACAGACGATAAACCGCATAGTGAGTGAGTGAGTGTTAGGTCCCCCTGCCGCCTTCAATGGAACTTCACCAGTATATCCGGTTTTCGCGTCTCGTTTTCGTTTGCTCCTGACCGTGTAGCCAATCGTTTGAAGCGGCGGAAATTGCGCATGAGCGGAGGTGTGACTGAGCGCCGCGTAGACGCGAGATGGCAAGAAGAATGGGATGTGTCCGACCGAGGCAAGCACATCGGTAGAACGTACTGCACTTGCGCGGAAGTAGTCATGTATTGTACATAGCACTTTGACAGAACGTCTCATATAAGGTCGTATTCGCGCATATATAAGGTTAACATCCCGTCTGTAGTTTACAAATGTTATGTAGGAAAAGATATCGCCTGCATCAACCAAAATTCTGATGCAACATTGACCAAACACCCAAAGAAAACCGTGAAGAATTATTATATATAATAGTTTTTCGCAGGAGCAGTACGTTCTGCAGACGTGCTAGTACGTCCTGGCCAACTTTTTCCACTATCTTACCGAATTCTAGGATCTCTACCCCCGCATACGTAGGAAATCCTGGTAGAGGCTGGCACTACACCGTACCAGCAGCTTTCGTTTTCCATTGACCGTGTAGCCAATCGTTTGAAGCGGCGGAAATTGCGCATGAGCGGGGGTGTGACAGAGCGCCGAGTAGACGCGAGATGGCAAGAAGGATGGGACCTGTCTGACCGAGGCAAACACATCGGTAGAACGTACTGCACCTGCGCGGAAGTAGTAATATCTTGTGCATAGCACTTTGACAGAACGTCTCATATAAGGTCGTATTCGCGCACATAAGGTTAACGTCCCGTCTGTGGTTTCCAAATGTTATGTAGGAAAAGATATCATCTGCATCAGGCAAAATTCTGTTGCAACGATGACCAAACACCCAACGAAAACCGTGAAGAATTATAGTTTTTCGCAGGCAGTACGTTCTGCAGACGTGCTAGTACGTCCTGGCCAACTATTTCCACTATCTTACCGAATTCTAGGATCTCTACCCCCGCATACGTAGGAAATCCTGGTAGAGGCTGGCACTACACCAGCAGCTTTCGTTTTCCATTGCCCGTGTAGCCAATCGTTTGAAGCGGCGGAAATTGCGCATGAGCGGAGGCGTGACTGATCGCCGTGTAGACGGCAAGAAGAATGGGGCCCAAGCACATCGATAGAACGTACTGCACCTGCGCGGAAGTAGTAATATCTTGTGCATAGCACTTTGGCAGAACGTCTCATATAAGGTCGTATTCGCGCACATAAGGTTAACGTCCCGTCTGTAGTTTCCAAATGTTGTGTTGGAAAAGATATCGTCTGCATCAGGCAAAATTCTGTTGCAACGTTGACCAAACATCCAACAAAATCATAGTTTTTTGCTGGCACAGTATGTTCTGCGGACGTGCTAGTACGTCCGGTTTTCGTGTCTTATTTTCGTTTGCCATTGACCGTGTAGCCAATCGTTTGAAGCGGCGGAAATTGCGCATGGGCGGATGCGTGACAGAGCGCCGTGTAGTCGCGAGATGGCAAGAAGAATGGGATGTGTCCGACCGAGGCAAACACATCGGCAGAACGTACTGCACCTGCGCGGAAGTAGTCATGTATTGTACATAGCACTGACAGAACGTCTCATATAAGGTCGTATTCGAGTATATAAGGTTAACATCCCGTCTGTAGTTTCCAAATGTTATGTAGGAAAAGATATCGCCTGCATCAGGCAAAATTCTGATGCAAAGGTGACCAAAAATCCAACAAAAACCATAAAAGAATCAGGAAGCACATCGGAAGAACGTACTGCACCTGCGCGAACGTAGTAAAGTACTGTGCATAGCACTTTGACAGAACGTCTCATATAAGGTCGTATTCGCGCACATAAGGTTAACATCCCGTCTGTAGTTTCCAAATGTTATGTAAGAAAAGATATCGTCTGCATCAGGCAAAATTCTGTTGCAACGTTGACCAAACATCCAACAAAATCATAGTTTTTCGCTGGCACAGTATGTTCTGCGGACGTGCTAGTACGTCCGGTTTTCGTGTCTCGTTTTCGTTTGCCATTGCCCGTGTAGCCAATCGTTTGAAGCGGCGGAAATTACGCATGAGCGGAGGTGTGACAGAGCGCCGTGAAGACGCGAGATGGCAAGAAGAATGGGGTCTGTCCGACCGAGTCGACCGGTGACCCGCGTTCACAGACGATGTCACAAAAGGATTGCGGAGGAGCCTTTCTGTCGGGACGATTTCCTCTTACTGAAGACAGGGATGTGCAGCAGGATTTTGCACATAAGATGCGGAAACAGGAGGTCGTGGGATTAATTTTCAGTTTCAGCAGATGCATGCTCTACGAGATTTAAAAACATGGAAAGTTATGGTCGTGGAACTAATGTTCAGTTTTAGTTGTTGATCTGGGCTAGCATACTCTTTGAGATAAAAAAAATGGATGTACAGCAGGATTTTGCACATAAGACACGGAAACAGGAGGTCGTGGAATTAATTTTCAGTTGTTAATCGGAGTTGCATGCTCTACGAGCTATAAAAATGGAAAGTCGTGGTCGTAGAGTTAATTTTCAGTTTAAGTTGTTGATCGGAGTAGTAGCATGCTCTGCAATATGAAAAAAGATGGAAAGTTTTGCTGATGTATCAGAGGGTTTTGGATATAAGATATGAAAACTTGAGGTCGTGGAGTTAATTTTCAGTTTCAGTTGTTGATCGGAGTTACATGCTCTAAAAGATACCAAAAAAATGGAAAGATTTACTGATGTACCAAGAAAAGCCGTTAGAATTTCAAAATGCACAGGAAAGCTAATACATTGAACGTTTTCCTATTCAGGTCCTTTGACTTGATTGATTTGATTTCAGGTACTTTGATATAAGATTTGTAAGGTACTCCACTTCCGTTAGTAGGCAAATCAGAAGTTGATTTTCTGTTCAAAAAGTCAAGGAGAAACGCAAACCAGACATTGTGATCGGTTATGCCATTCATCATTTTTTCATCATTATCATGACAGTCTTTAATAATGCCATAAATTCCATCTCTAAAGTGTTTATGTATATCGATATGTTTAGTATGTCCTGAATCGGTGCTTAGACTATGAGTCAGACATCTCAGACAAGTTTTTGAGGACAGCCAACACGCAACAAATCGTGCCTTGGTGCCCAGAGAATGAGGTCTACCCAGCTATTCATCACTTTACTTTTGAGAAAACATAGATTATGTCCTACTTTCTCTCGGCCGGTTTAAAACGAACGATGTCTATGTCCACGTAGGCGCCA